TAAGGGGAGGTAGACCCACCCCCCCACATATTTTGAACTTAAAAAATAAAACCTGTATCAGAAGAGTTGACCGTCTTCTCCAAAGCCGTCCCGCTAGTGAGAGCAGAGTCAGAATTCACACCCCATCCTCCATGCCTCCTGAACCTTGTCCTCTCAGACTATCCAGCAGGTGGGGTGTTCCTGAGATCCAAGGAATGTCCATTGTTCTATTTCAAAGGGCTTTCTTCTCAGAATCCGCGAGGGCTTAAAAAACAATTTGTTGTGTCTTTGCTTATTGATTTAGACCAGGGCAGAGTGTATTCTAGGCCCTGACGGTGTGCAGGCTCCGTGGTGTGGGAGACGGTGCGCCCCCTTCTCTCTGGAGCAGAGCCTGGCCGGGGCAGGCACCAGCACACGCCTGCTGAGTGGACGGCCTGGCTTCCAAGGCCAGAGTGGGGTCGGTTTCCCTCTCAGACTGGGCCCTTGCCCTTGGACTTGCTACGAAGCCTGGCTCTGGACCTTCCCCCTGTCCCCGCTCGGTGGCCCGTGCCCTCCTAGGCCCTCACGGCCTGCGGCCTCTCTCAGCAGCAAGCCCCCATCTCCCCCGTCTCTCCTCCTCACTCTTACCCACCAACACTCACCTCAGGCTCAGCGTATTTAGAAAAGACTGAAATAGGCCAATATTAGCCTCAACGAAGAAGTGGAGGGTGGGGCATGGAGCGGCCAGGGCGCCAGCCCCCATGGCCGCATGACCACTTCCTCCACACACCGTCCCGATCACCGCGACCCTTTATCCTGAGAACTCCAGGGCATTGCCCCTACTTTCAAGGAGAAGACTGAAAGCGCTCTGCCTGAGAGCACTTGGCTGGCAAGCCACAGAGCCAGGACTGGCGCCAACGCTGCGAGCGTCGGCCGCACTTTCGTGGTGGTCAGCGACCTCTGCCCCGCAGGGTTTAGGGCTGCAAAGTCAAGGCCGTGAGGCCAGGGCGGGTGGACGCAGCGAAAACCTTTCCAAGGGCCCCTCTCAGGTGTCTGTCCCAGCCACGTGCCCACAGACACCGCTCCTTGGCCTTTCAGCGTCATCTTCAGTCGTCCTCGCCCTCTACCCTGGTGCCTGTCGGGTGAGTTTCCTGAAGTGGAACCCATGCTGGAAAGTCTGCCTCCCGTCACAAAGCCTGGATTCGAGATTTGAGACAAGAACCACCTTTCTCCTTAGTCTATGTTTATTGAGATTGAAACTTCTGTTGTCCTGGGTACCAAGTACCTGGGGAGGCTCACGCAGTGGTTCCGTGAAGCAACCACAGGAGAGGGAAGCCAGACTCAAGCTGGCACCTGAAGACCTGCGTCCCAGCTTTAGGGCTGCCCTCGCTGCCCAGCTCAGGTGAGGAACCCCTCCAGGGTCTTGCCCTCCCCGGTGGCAGATTCATGGAGCTGACACTTGCAGAGCCTCCTACCAGCCCAAGGCACCACAGGTGAGCCCTGGTGAGTGCGGGGCAAGATCGCATCGCTAAGCAGCTTCCTGTCCACTGAAGCACGAAGGAGCGGCTGCCCAACGAGGGGCGTGGCCTTGGCGCCCAGAGCCCTCCTCTCCCCTCATTTCCGGTGGAATCGGGCTTGTGGAGAGATGCCGCTGAAGAATCAGTTCATCCCCGACCGCCTTTGTCTGGCGTCCCTCCAGCCTGGCATGCGTCGCGTGTGGACGTGAGCCCCTCTCTGCTGCTTTGAACAGAGCCCCCCCGTGGGCCTCTCGCTGGCCTGGCATTTGGCCCACCTGCCAGATCCCAGGAGCGTCCGGGATGCCGACGAGGAAAGCAGGGCTGGTTTTCACCTCCAGCCTAGTGCATTAGATGAGCCCCTTGGCCAGAATGGCTCAGCCCTTTGCATGCGCTGATTAGCCAAAGGCGCTTTGGCGGTGACGTGCTGTACCGTCCGATGGTGTACGCAGGGCTTACCAGACCCGCTACAGAATAAAACTTCCTGAAGCTGCACGGAAAATGAGGCCCCGAAACAGGAAACTAGGGTCCGGGCCTGCCGGTGCCCTCGTGCTGCCTCAGGAGACGGCGCTGAGGCACGAGAAGCCGCACAGGAAAGGCCGTCTGGCTGCTCAGCGGTGTCCCTTCCGGCGCCAGGTGCGGAGTTGCCGTCTACAAGTCCCTCGGCGCTGCCAGGAGAGCCCCAGGGGCCGTCAGCCCCAGCCTTCTCTCCCTTGGCGGACGGGGGGCGAGGCCAGCCAGGGACTGTCACCCCCTAGGAGGCGTAGAGTCACAGGCAGAATCAGGGTGTCCAGATCCCAGGCTGCCCTTCCTCTCACCAGAGGATGAGGTCTCTGAAAAACACGAAGGACCACTTTCCATCGAGGGGAAGCGGAGTCCTGATGAAAGGGCGCTGGCTGTGTAGACGGAGTGACTTGGTTCTCACCCTGCTCATCTCGTCCCGCTCTGTGCCTTGTGTGGCCCCAGGCAGGGTGCCGAGCTGCTCTGCTCTTTAGCTCCCCGTCTATAAAATGGGAATGCCACGGGGTTCAGAGAAGACTCAGCGGGTTAATAGGCGCTTGGATTTAGAGACATTCTCGCCACGCAGAGAAGACCCTCTAAATACTCGTTATCATCACCCCCATCCGCGGGCTGAGCAGGCCCTATGCCGACCCCCGCAGGGCCCCGTGCCTTGGCGCTCCCACCTGGGGTGAGCCCCGGGGGGCTGAGAGCCCCCCGGCTGACCAACGCGGACATCTCACGGCAACTGCCTCCTGCCTCTGCTCTCTGCGCACCTCACACCTTTATGCTCTGCCTTCCCAAATCCTTCTCCTCTCCCTTTGTTTTAGCTACATCCAGCCTCGTGCTGGTGGCCGGGGATCCAAAGGGACACTCGGTCCACTGGTAGAACTCGGAACAAGGCGATTCGTCTCCGACTGGCATGGAGCTCATTCAGTTGTTTCTCAAGTAGCTATCAATATCATGAGTTAGACAAAGATGTGCACACACCACATCTGCATGTGTAAACTTGTACAACCAGCTATGCACGCCGTATACTTTATGCATATACTGTGTGTCTTTATGCTTTAATATTCTTACATTGCATACTTCATATTTTAAGTATTCCTTATAATAGAAATGTTATATATAGTTATATATATTTTATATTTTAAATATTCCTTATATATTAATATAAACTTTATATTACACATACTTTATAATATGTGCTTTATATACTTCATATTTTAAATATTCTTTAAAGAATAATACATACTTTTCATTTTAATATTCTCTATATTACAATATAAACATATATACTTTATATTTTAATATAAAGTTTATATTATATATACTTTATAAGATATATTTTATATTTTAAATATACTTTAAGGAAACATGGGTCTTGCAAATCTGCATTGCTCACTTCCTTATAAACTCATTTAAAAATCTAAATCCTTCATGCTCTGCAAAAGAGCATATGATTACCTTGAGCTTCACACGGCCTTTTCCAGCTCAGTGCATTCTGTAGCCAGGGTGACTCCCTAGGACGGGGGCCCGGCCGATGGGGCCCGGAGTCAGGCCACTTTCCATAGGTGTTTGTGAAACTCCCACGGCGACCACAGTGATGGGCTGGGGCCTGGAGTCTGCCCTGTTCTGTGAATAGTCTATAGGAGAAGCACAGGGAACCATGAGCCACACTCTAAAGCTATCATGTAGACATGAGTTTTCAGTAACTAGGAGAACGGTCCGCACTGGAAGTCAGAGACAGAACAGGTATCGCGCTGAGGTCCCCGCAGCCGAACAGCTGGGTGCTCTGCTGGAGCGCGAGACCCGTTCTGCCCCTGGCCACCCGTGAGCCCCGTGCCCGCCCAGCAGGGCCGGGACCACGCCGCCGCACCTCCACGCCGACACGCAGGCCAAGTGACGCGGGGTCTGTCGCGGGCAACCCCACTCCACCGACACTTTTTAAATGGTCATGCTTATTCAGCAAGCCGACTGACTATGCAGGAGGCAGTGAGTCCCGCCTGGGAAGCTGGATGAGGCACGCCTGTTTTGTCTGCACCCCTCCCTCTGTTTCTGGGCCTCCAAGGATGCCTCTCTAGGGCTTCTGTCCACTGGGGTGCACCTGATCTTGCTTTCCCTGGAGCACGCTGCTCGCTGGCTCTTGCTCCCGATCCTGAATTCTCAAGGCTTTTGTAACTAAGGTGACGGAGGGGCACAGGGGCAGAGCTGGAGGCTGACCCTTCCGCCCTGGGCCTTGGAGCAGGCGAGGGCCCTCTTCTTGCGGTGGCAGACGAAGGGGGCGGTGTGGCACGTAGGACTCACAGTGGAATGTGACCGGCTCCCTAGGGCTGCGTCTGGGGGCCAGGGAGAGGGAAGAAGGGGGAGGCCGCAGGAGGACGCTGCCAGGCGGGGCGTCCGGGGGCAGGTGGGGCGGAGAACGGGCCGCCCTCATCGTTGCCCTGGAGACGCATCGCTGACCGCTGGCACAGACCCGTCCCGTCTTTAAGACTCTGGGGTGTGATTGCTCGTTCTCCCTCAGCCGCTTCAGAAGTCACCACCACATCCCATTACGCCAGGCGGGAGGCCGGCCACAGCACCACCTAGACTCCTGGGTCTCCCACGCCTTCCCTTCCCCCGCCCCCACGTGCGGATCTCCGCTCCGACTCTCCTCCCCTCACGCCTACGCCCTGCCCTCCCTCCCCGTCGGCCCCGGACGCTCTGTCCAAGGGTAGCGCCCAGGTGGGGATGCAGCGCAAGAAGGCCCTGCCCTCGCCTTCAGCCCCAAGCCTAACCGACCGCCACCGCCTCCCTCTGCCGCTTCTACCCGCGAGCCCCTGTCTTTGGAGCAGGCTGCCGGCTGCCGGCGCCCCGGCGAGTCTCAGCACTCTGGCCGGGCTCTCCTGCCGGACGCAGACCCGGAGGCTCGGGGTGGGCTGGGGTGGGGGCGGGGCGCCCACGGAGAAGCATGTCTGTCAGGTGCTTGTCAGGGGTGAGCAGGGCGCCCGCGGGCGAGCGCTAAACGTCTGTCTCTCTCTCCCTACACAGGGCCTGGAGCCGTCATTGATGGTGTAAACTCGGCGTCCAGAGTGCTGGCCGGCCTCTGGCTGTCGGGGACCCTCTTTGCTCACTTCTTCATCAAGTTTTGATGAGAAACCATAGGTCTTCTGAGCAATGCCTGCTTCTCCACATCACAGACTTTACCTGCACTGCGGAGGGCAAACCAGTCTGGGCTTCTTTTTCGTTTCTTTTTTGTCTTCTCCTTCTCGATTTTTCACTTTTATTCGTTTTGTTTGCTTGATTTTTCTTTCCCAGTTTGAACGAGCAGGGCTGAGGGGAGGGGCGAGCAGGGTTCTACCATGTGCAGGATGGTCATTCGTGGGCGAGGCCAGCAGTAGAGTCCGTTCCTGCCAGCGTGGCCCCTCCCCTTTCCTCTGCTCCCCCTCATCACCGCCTCCACCCCCCGCCCCGCACCAAATCATAAGCTCCATTTGCGCAAAAAATGTGCCTCATGATAAACACCCTGAAGACACGACTTGGCTTGTAACGTAGTGCACAGCGAGAGCTCTGTCCAGGCGTCCTGCGATCTGTGTCTCTCCAGCTTTGGACCATTCTCCTGACTCTAATGTACATATCGCTGCCTCCAGTGTATTATTACCTAATTACACTAGGGTTCACGGCCTTTCTTTCCGGGAAGTTCTCTCTCTACCTGAAATATTGCAATCTTTTCTAGCCATTCTGCCCTGTTTGCTTTCTCTACTGGGGATTCGAGGTTTGGGGATATGCGCACAACCCAAAACTGAAAGTTTAGAAGTTGTGTGACCAAAAGAGGGGGAGGCGTTTTGAGAACAGTCCTTCTCTTTAAAAAATGCCGTCCGTGTCGTGAAAAATGGTCCACACGTGGCTGATTATTTAGGTTATATCAAGCTCTCCCTCAAAGTCATCATACAGTTACCCATCTATTCACCTGTCCGATTCATCGCCCCATCCAGTTATCCACCCGCCCGGCCCCCTCTCTAGCAATGTATTTACTGTATTTATCAGTCCATCGGTGTCATTTCCTAGCATTTCTTTCTGTTTATTTCCCCACGACTCACCACCAGTCCATCACCGTATCAGTCTCTAATCATTTTGTGTCTGTCCCCCCGTGTTCACTTCTCCCCCACCTTCAGCAGACACTGGCATCTCCAGAATTACCTATCAGCTTCTCGTGTGAAAGCCAGTGAGCTCACGGGCTAACGACACAGACAAGCACTACGTAAGGGGCTCTCTGGAACGCGGTGCCCGTCTGCCCGGAGTCGATGCTGGTAACAGACGGACCAAAGGAGCAATCTCGTGAGCAGTCACCCACGGTTCCCGGAAGAGACGGTGTTTCCAGAAGCGTCTTCCTGGGAAGCAGCCCAGCCTTGGGGAAGCCTGGATTGCTAGCGTGCTTTTTTTCTTTGTCACTGGAAGGACTGAAGTGCCAGTCTCCATGCTTCTCAGCCCTTCGAGGAAGCCCACGTCGGGAACCTAGGGACCGTCCTTAGCGGCAAGACAGGAAGAGGAGGACACACATCTGCGTCTGCAGTAAGAGGCGCGCGGTCCGTCCGAGCGGAGCGACTTCAACTCCCGTCTCCTCTGGTCCAGCTTTGGCTTAATCTGTTTGAAAACTATCCAGTGAAAAGCTGATGGAAGCCAATTACACGGCGGGTGTGTTGTTGACGTGGTATTTGCTTCAGGAAGGTCTTCTGAGCTGAGGGCACTTGAGCAACTGACTTAATTTCTGAGCACTTGCTAATGCCACACAGCAAGCAGGAGGGGACAGTGCAAGGGACACGCTGCTTCTCCGGTGGCTTTGAGGGCGAAGCCCTCAGCTCGCCACGTTCAGGGCGGCCCCAACGCACAGAGAAGAGCTGACCTGATCTTTCTGCACCATCTCCTGGGAGGAGAAGGGCTCAGCCAGCCAGGGCGCCTTTGATGCGAAGAAATGGCCTCGGAAAGCACGCGGGGCTGCGCCCTTTTCCTGTGCCGCAGCGGGTGAGCTGCGAGGGGCGAGAACCACGGGCGCACAGCCCGGAGGACCGGGAAACTTCCAGCCCGCAGAGTCCCGCGCCCTTGGTGCTTGACTGGGCTTCCTCCTCTGCGTGGCCCCTTTGTTTCTGTGCAGGATGCCACGTGAACGCGGCCTCAGAGTGGGAAACACACACACATGCACGTGCACACGTGGCATACAAAGAGCGAGGCGCTTTGGTAAGAGTTAGAGCTGGTGTGAGTGAAATTAATGTTAGATTTGCTCACTTAAACATCCATCCGCATTTCCGAGGGAGCTCCCAGGAGCCAGACTTGGGGACCAGAAATGATATGCCAAAAGCAGCGTGTGGATTCCACGCTCCAGGGACAGTCTCGAGCCAGCACAGGGTCAGAATGCACGGTCAGACGTCAGTGCCTCAGCTCTGTCACTGTGGGCACTGGACGAGAATTTAATGTGTCACCTGAAGGTCCTCCTAGTAATACAGGTGTTAGCTTGGGGTAAAATAGTGCAGAGGCCGGGTAGCATGGACAGTCTTGGAGAATAGTGTGCTTGAAACGGACAAGCTGGGTGTGTCCTTCACTCCAAGGCTTGATCTAAAGGTGTCCATCCTTCTTCGGCTGGAAGATCCCGGAACCTACTGAGCACAAGGAGACTGGGTCTCAGCATCGCTGCGGACACTGCGCTGCCCTCTCCCACTGGACACCAGGAAGGACATCTTTAGTTACATGTTCCAGCCACGTTTCAGAGGGAAAAAGTCCTACCGTCCATCCTCCCCTGTCTGGGATGAAGAAAACCAAGTAAGTAAGACCCAAGGGGCACTGGGAGAGGAACGCCTTCTCCACGGCGGGCGTCCTCCAGCACGCATGCTGCGTGGGCTACCTTGGTGGGGATGGCTCCCCAGGACAGTAGCCTTCTGAAGCACATAGAACAGCCAACGCTCATTCAAGACGGTCTTGATTCTCACACTCTTTCCACTTTATATACGGAGAGCAGGTGCATCAGTCCTGCTGGAGAGACTGCCTTCGAGGCGCCAGGGGTGGAGGTGGCGGTTAGGGTGAAGGAGGGCAAAGCACCGGGTCCCCGGGAACCTGCAGCTCGGCACAGGTTTGCACATGGGGAGGAAACCAGACAAGGCTTCTCAGGGGATTGAATGGGAGAATTCAGCAATGCAGGTGCTCCGAGAGCCCCCTGTCCAGGACCAAGCTCACATGTGCGTCCACCAAAGTCATGCCCATGAACGTTCGAGTGTCCGGCTCTGGCCAAGCTTGGTCTCAGTGGTTTACTGTCAAGTGCCTGATACAGTCTCCTACAAGTCTAAGCAAGTGCGTTTCGTCTTCCTCGTTCCTGTTTTAGCTGGGGGAGGGAGGCCTTGCAGGCGAGCGGCGGTCAGCCCGTGCACCTTACTTTGCGCAGGGAGGATTGTGTGCGGCGGTTCTGATGCGGCTGTGCTCAACGGAACAGCAGTCAAGAGGAGACTTTGAATCAGAAGTACGCCTGGGGCTCTTGGTCCCGAAACCCACACCGCATACCAGACAATGCATTTCAGGGGCTGGACAGTTAGTTCTCACAACCTGGGTGGAAGCGTGCTCTGGGATTCTGGGAACCCCACCACCGAGGGTGAGTTCAAGGGCCTGTGTCTGCACCAGTCCAGTCAGCTTGCTCCCAACGTGGAGGGGTTAGCCAGCTCGACGTATGCCGGGAAAACCCACGTGAACAGAGGAGAGAACTTACAGTGGGAGCCGGTCTCAGAGCCGTCGGCGGCACTGCGTCGGGGGCGGCTGTAACGTGGCGGGGGCCTCCTGTGCCGACAGAAACGCTTCCTTGTCCGTGACTGTGTGTGGTGTCGCCAGCATCAGTAGGAGGGGAGGAAGGCCCAGGGCCAGGCGGGGTATGAGGACGACGTCGACTTTCCCGGTTTGACCCTGAGCCCCCACCAGAGAAAACCCGGCTTTGCAGCACCTGGAACCAGCTCACCCCTCCCTCCAGAAAGCCCAACAAACAAAAAACTCCAAAACAAAATGCAATCTCTTTGGCATCAGCGGAAGTAGAGGAAGCAGCATAAAATGTTTCTTGTTGGCAAAGTTCACTTTTCCTCTTTTTACCCCCAAACGAGAATCAGCTTTTTTTTTGTCTCGCGTGATCCCGACTCCTAGAAACTTCAGTCCGGCTGCCTCCCCTCCGAGTACCCAGAGCTTCCCTGTCTTTTTATTCTAAGACAAGGAAGTTTGAGCAGTTGCAGCAGAACGTCACAGGTGTGTCGCTGGGAAGGCAACGTTTGCAAAAGATGCTGTGTGATGAGCACCGATGATCACTGAGAGCAAACAAATGAAAGCGCCAGGCTCGTTTCCCTCGCTTCTTAGGAGAAGACAAGTAATGAGAGGAGGAAGCAGCAGACCTGCGATGAAACGACGTGGAGAAAAGATAGAGCTGGACCAGAGCAATTCAGCCTTCAGGTGCAAGATACAGCCCGAGGGAATGTGGAGTGGACTTAATTAGACGCGATTGTCTTCATCCTGGAAGTGGTCCGCGAAGCCTCATTTCCCGTAGTTTAGAAGAGATTCCGTTTTGTTTCTTCCCACGGTGCCCTTTTAAAGGCACCACGTTATTTCAGTTGCTCCACCACAGTGAGTGGGGAAGGAAAGGCGGTGAACCCTCTGCTATCTTTTCGGGGCTGCATTCTACGCTATCGGCAGATTTATAATGGTATCCATAATAGCAATGATGTGTAATCACGCCTGCCCTTGTGTTAGTTAAAGGGAGCGTTTTTAATCATTGGAAAACTTGTGTGACGTGTACAGTGCAGTTGTGAGGAATGTGTGGGTGTACGAAGATGTGTCTGTCAAGTCCAGAGTCCTCTAGATTAAAAAAAATTTTTTTGACTTATCAATGGTGCCGTTACAGCTGTGTCAGACAGGTGCGCTCACTCCCAGCTATCCTTAAAGCAAATCTGTGTTCAAATGCTTTAAAATTTTATCACATGATACAAGAGTATAACTTTGTCAGCCTTCTAGAGTTTTTTCCTTCTATTTTCTTTCTTATGTTTTCCTTCAAAAATCAACGGAGACTTGATTTCTGTCAATAATTGTATTAAGGGTGAATATACTACCTGAATTTTGTGCATGTTACATTGTAGTTGTAACCTTTTCTAATTCAGGATGGATACGAGATGGTTGTGATTGTGCAGTGTATCAATAAAGTTCAAAGAAATTTGTAACTTTTGGGGGGCTATTTATTAGGACATCTCACTGGGTTTCCAGGAATGGAGAAGGGCTAGGTAGGCTGTGTGCGTTTTTGGCTCTGGGGAGTCGATGCAGTCAGAAAACTGGCTTCTCTCTCTCCCTCCCCCCACCGCTTTATGCACATATGCACCCACACGCACACGTGCACCCACACACACACGTGCACCTCCACACACACACGTGCACCCACCACATACATGTGCACCCACACGCACACAGAATGCTAGGCAGTTTGGGCACTTTCACATTACACTTGTGTATCACAAATCTGTGCCATTTACAAGTCATATAAAATGCAGATAATATGAAATCCAGCTGCAGCCGCGAAGTCAAAATTATTTGTTGGCCTAGGCTAAGGTGAAATCAGGAGCGAAGCCTCAGGAGCAGGATGACCAGGCACTGCTCAGTCTGGGCTTTCCTCGGCAGTCCCTGCGGCCTGACCCCGCCGAGTTAAGCCCCACTTGGGCAAGAGTAAGTAAGAGAAAATACGGTGACCGTGCTCTCCGCCTGTTCTTTACGGTGTATGCCTTTGGATTCACTCTTCTCCGGCTTAGTTTACTGGCGTGCTCATGGGGCAGTGGAACCACTGGATCAGTTCTCCTCTGTCTTAGGTCCACTGCCAGACACACAGGGTAATAGGGCCGCTGGGTTAATTGCTCTCCGTCTTCGGTTTACTGTGGCACTCACAGGGCAACAGGACCACGGGCGTCCCTGTTCTCTGTCTCAGCCTTCCTGTGAGCTCCTCGGGTAGTAGCATGAGGAGGAGACAGGGGAGCTGGCTCCGTTCCTCTGATTGCCTTTCCCAGGACGTCTTTCTCGTTCAGTGAAGCCCCATCTCCTCCACCTTCGTCGCACATTCGTATGCTCGCTGGAGGAACGGGTATTGAGCACTTTCCTGGAACCCAGCTTCTCACCAACCGTGTATACATCGGCTGCCATTGAATAGACATGTGGCCTGGGACCGGACTGGCCCTGCGAGTCTTTGTTTCCTCAGCGCCACCACTGGTGAATTTACACCCCTCAGTGTGTTCTGTCAAACCTCTGAGCAATTGTTGTTTCTTTTTCAACCACTGGGTTCCTCAGGACTGCCCGAGTAAAGCCTAGGCCCGTGACTGTTACGATTTGGGGACGCAGCAGGAAGTGGGTCAAGATTCTCCATCTGACTGAACCGCTTCCCTGGCCAAGACCCGGAGCTCGAGTGATGAGGCTCGTTTCGAATGGCTTCCTGGGTAGACGAGGGCTAATCTCTGGTCTTTCGTGACTCTGTTTCCCCCACAGGGGATGGAACACAGATAAGTGGATAGACTAGATCATGTTCTTTCTGAGTCGGAGA